CTGTTTACCTTTCCCAGAACTTCATGCATATTATAGAAAAGAAAATTTACAACCAAAGCTCTTTCATAATTATTTTTCCGCGCCTGGGTGAGGGGATAGCGTTGATCGAGAGTAGCAGGTTTGTTTGTTCATTTGCAAAATTCCATGATCATACGAATTTGCCAACGTATTATACTGTTCGCCTAGTCATCCAAAGAACGGGTCGCGTCGGTAACCTTGAGGTTAGGCTACCGAACCCGTAATCATGAGATTGCAGGTTCGCGGATTCGAGCCTCAGCTTGATTGGACGTTGTGTCCTTGGGAAAGGCTCTCTACCCGAATGTCCTATTTGGCCCGGTCCTTTCGGAGACGAACGATAAACCCGGGGGTCCCGCCTCTTAAATTGCTGAATACGAGAAGTGTTGATAAGAGCCTTAACCTTAAACCTATACCACAGGTTCCTGTAACAAAACATTTCTATGCTATTGATACATCACGCAGGCAGAAATTTCAATTTTTGTCGAGTACAAAAGGCTGTCCTTCGGATGAGCTCATTTTACTTACTTACTTGGTTGGAGAATGGGCATCATTGCAGGCGGCACAATGCCATAGCTGCTCCTCCCTCCTCTCTGGGATCCATGAAAAGGTCCGCCTGCTGATCGTGCCAGTTAACAGTTGGTTGGCTCCTTTTTAAAGATTCGAACTTCTAGAATTAAAATAGTTATAAGAACGAAGTCAAATACAAGCAGAGCAACTGCACACCAACCCAATCCCAATATTTCCACTTTTTAACGTGACCCAAGAAACTCAAATTGAGGGGAGGGGGGATGACTCTGGCCTTGCGCGTTCCCTTGATTATCTTTCCGTGGCCGTGAGTGGCTTGTCGCACACCGGGTGGGCTCTGGGCAGGCCCTGCGAGTGTTGAGTGGACTTGACAGGGCCCTGGTGTAAACTCTTGGGCGTAAACTGGTCGGCAAGTGCTTGCCACGAGACCTAGTCAGTTGCTAGCTTTATGCTTCAAGATCGCGAGCAAAAAAGTTAAAGGGAAGCGGCTTTGTTGCACTGAACGACACAAAACCTAACTTGTATACATGTGAAGAGCTCCCTTCCTCTCTCAAAAGGCATACACTCATAAACACACACACACACACACGCGCACACACACACACGCACACACACACACACACACACACACACACACACATTAGCATACACATACATACACACAC